CTCCCTTTAAGCAGAGCAGAGTTGTACAGACTGTCATCGTAATAAAGGCACATAAGAGGAACATCCAGCGCTGGTTGTAGTCACTTTAACAGGTAATCACTTTCTGATGATACGTCTCCCCTTTTGAGGCCGCAAAGAGGAGGCCACCAAAGAAATAGCAATAGTCTCGGTGACTCCGTCGCTACCGTTAGTAGGAAATGCTTTTTTGAGTGCTGATTCTGTGACGGGAATCGTTTCGAGTCCACCGTAGCATCTTCCTCTTATCGATCTCGAAAGCAGAGTGCCTGTGTGAAAAGACACACCAACTCAACTGACTCCGCCCCATACGACCAACGCGAAACGCTCCTTTTACGATGGGACTTGTCAAGCATTAGAGAGAGCAATTCTTTGCAACCGATCAAAGTTCACAATGATGTGAAAGACGAACTGAGATAGCACGACAATATTCAAACTCAGCACACGAACTATAACAAGGTCCAAGTGAGAAGGGAGTGAGAGGTAAAAGTTACTTCCAAAAAGGGAGGGTCGACTGAGACTCGTCCTAGTCCTGAGAAAGTTGAGAAAACTGACTCAAAGAACATTTCGCAGCCCACTTACTGCTCCCATAAGGAAGGCCCGGATGATTTTCTGCATTGGACGCGTGCGGTAAATAAACGCAGGTACGCTGAATGCTTCGGAGAAATGCACAGTACGGGTGAGAAAATTTACCAGGGTCTCACCTAACAGATCCTTAGTGGCCTCGCAGCGTACATATTTCTGAGGGGGACTGTAGTGCACTACGGACCATGGAAAGAAGCGTTCTCACAGAAAATCGGCAACAGCAATTAGAGAGTAATTCCAGTGACATTATAAAAAGGAAACATGGAAGCCCGAATTTCCATGAATCTTTGCAATACTGAAGAATGTAGGAATCACTTCACGCCAACATTTGTTATCGCAGTTCACGATCACTTCTTGCTGAAATAATGGTTTGATTATGGTAGCGAAGCTACCGATGGCTTTCAGAGACTAAAAACTCACCAATGACATGACAGACTTCAGCCCTTATTTCGTTCCGCATGAAAAAGTCTAGCCAAAGACGTTGCTTTGTTGAAAGCCGATCTCCTGGACCTTTTACCTCGACCACCTATTGCAATCCTTTTGGTTATCAATCAGTCAATCAGTGATATGAAATTATTCAAATTACCGCAACAGTCTTCTCCTCCGTATTCCAAACAGTGAGGTCTGGGAATCCACTTCGACAATTTCGATAGTCTGTTACTATCCGTCGCAAAACCGCAAGCAAACCCGACCGTGGACAACAGAAGAGGAATTTCTGAAAGAAGGCCGTATTACTCTGCAGGTGCTGAATACTAATGCATTCTAGCACAGCAAAGAGTGAATATGAAAGAAACCAACCAGGAAATCGCCAACGTCCTCGAAAAGACCCCAATTAATTTCAGATGTCTCCAACAGGTGCTGTGCGACCCATGTGATTCGTACGGCATCGGCGATTTCTTCATCAGTAGCCATCTGCAGCCACGAGAATCGTTCCTCGAAGCGTTCTCGACGACTCTCAAACAGATCCCGAGAGTTTAGGTCGATCGGATTCGTCTGCAACAGACCTTTAGATTTACGGAAGCTGCTTTTAGCGTTGGCTGAAAGGTGGGACCGACCTTGGTTTCAGAGTCATCTCTTTGGAAGGACTTTAGTAGACCACACCTTCTACTGTGCTGGAAGCAGAATACAGTACCATGATGTGTGAAACGACGGTGTCACTACGATCCCCCCACCCCTACAAACTTCCTCATATGGTAACACCACCTTTAAACTTCCTCATAAACACCCCCTTCAACTTTCTCATATGGTAACACCCCTTCCTCATCCATCTTCAAAAAATTTCTTCCAACGACTTTCCCCAGTCCCAGTTCGCGGCTTGAAGAAATCCCACTCGAAGGCAGTTGGCACGATAAACGCCTAAGACGAGTGGGATTAATATGCCTGGCAGGAAATTTTGCGACCCCAAGCAGGCGCTGTGTAGCGCCTTTTCCAAGGAAGGTACCCTTATAAGGCCCTATCAAGCTACAACATACCGACCCGAACGCCCACCGCGCCCGCCCGCCCACAAATGGACGACCGTACCTGCTCGTATTGCTTCATTTGCTAAGTAAAATATAGAGCGAAGGGATTGGTATGAAGCGGCCGCAATGCTGCATGGATATATGAGTACATACGTGCAGCCGTACCTACCGTAGCGGTTATTGGCAAGATGCCTACGGGAAACTCGTCCGAAATCGCTTTTCGAGTCACAAAGAACGAGAAGTTTTCTTCGCAGATTTTGACCGTTTCACTTCGTTTTTTTTCGCTATTTTCAGCGCAACATAGCGCCCCGCTAGCATTTTAGGCCGAGTACTAAACTATCACACCAACGGCCTTTAAACACATGTACGCCTGTGACCAAGTAAGATCCCCATAGCGGGATTCTCTCAAGGGTGCTGTACTCTGCTTGAAGGTTCGGCCCGGTGGAGAGGTGTAGGAAGGGGTAGGAGAAGCGCCTCATTTCCCAGTGCGGTGAGTAGTGTGACTCAACGCCTTTGAACCGATGGCCCTGAACCTAC